TATAAAGTCCAAACACTTCAATTAAAAAAAAAAATTAATCATATTAGATATGCTTTTATTAGTTGGGTTTAGAAATTTTGGTTTGGTTGGAAAAAATAATAATTGACAAAATAGTGAGAGAGTGACTAGCTATCAGCGAAACGCAAGGACGAAAACACAAAGCATTAAAAAAGGAGAGGTCATGTAGATGCAGTTTTCCGCAGCCGTATCGAGAGGCCGCGTCTTCTACTGCATGTTCGCCATTTGAGTGCAAATGCAATATTTTTTTTTTTTTTTTTTTTTTAATTCTCAGATTCAATTCATGGCCATGGCTGGCCCCCCATATTCTTGAATCTCGAATTCTCTGACAAGTAGTGTGCAAAGTTATGAACGTGTCTTTGTATTGAAAATCTCCTTTCTTTTTAGCATTATTGATATGTAAGAGATGAAAAGGTTATGTTGTATTCGTATAATAGTTCCCCCACCCGCCATTTAAAGCGACATTGCTAGCTGCTTTAGGCTTTAACCAACAGGATAGAAATCTAAGGCACAAATCATGTGCTGTCTAACTCATTCCATTGTATTCATCTATAAATACAAAGAACTTGACTTCAAGGGTGGTTGTGTATTCTTTTTTCATTTTCATCCTATTTTGGTTGTCTTCTTCCCCCATCTAATGTATTAAAACGACATCAACATCTTTCAATAAGTTTATACAATTTGAATAAGGTGAAAGACCACTGTTAAAATATGAGACAACCAACGTAAAAAAATTGATTATGTCGTTGAAAATCGAGCAGCGATTCACCTAAAATGAAATTAACCTCTGTAATTTTGTAACTTACTTTTGACTATCATTGGACTATGTCGATTGCAGATAGATTGATATCTAAAGATTGACTTAATGTTTATGGAAATTTCAAAGATTTGGAAGAGATTGCATGTCATCTTCTTCCCCGGCGTGATAAGACTGGAGCCTTGGGGTGTTTATTTCAATTTAAACGAGTCTCCAGATAAATTTATTTCAAGTAAACGTCTTTTTCCCACCCAAGGTTTGCCTCGGTCCTAAAAAGTTTCAAAATACTACTTTCTCGTTCAAAGTTTATATTTCATTAATACTTGAAGTTGAAATTCTCTCAATCACCACCATTTAAACCTCAAGTCTTCTCTTTACAAAATCTCTCTCATTTCGATACTTGATTTCTTGTCGATTGCCGGTCACCACAAAACTAAAGTTTTCTATCCTTAACTGATTTCTGGCTATAAATATTGAATTAATCACTACCAGGTCTCCACTCTATAAATCATTAATCAATCATAGCAGATAGTTACATAATAAATATTGGTTTTAGTGTAATTAAGAGAAATATAATCCCATAATTTGACAGGTTTGACTGGGGAAAGGTTATCATATTTAATTAGAATTTAGCTGAGGTAGGTGATAAATAAGGTCCATGAACATCTTAATAATGTCAACCAAAAATCCGAAAGATGGGAGATAAAGATAAACTTTACCTGATCTCTCCAATCTAAAAAATAATAGCAGTGGCCCATTTGATTGAAACGGAGGTGAAAAGAAAAGGTGATGTGGAATTTGTGAATGACAAAATCTCATTGAAATAAGCGAAATGTAGTGTGATTACCCGGCACATTAGGTGACCGTCAAATTAAGTAACTCTTTAGTGCAGGCAGTCGTTTTCGTCCACCAATGGTTTCATTAATATTATATTTGTTTAACTTTAAGCTTTCTTCTTCTTCTTCTTCTAGCTTTAATTTAGTGCACACTGTTGGCTTTGTTCAGCGGATTTGGCTTTATTTTACTTTAAATAAATCTCAACGGCCAACGGATTAAGGAGTTAGTTGAGTTTTGACTTTTGCATTTTCCGTTTAATACTTCTCTGCTTTAGTTTATGAAACTGAAATTTGCATTTATCAATTGATATTTTGGCAAAGACTTATGAATAATCGGTCTTCCTTTCTATGTTTCTCTGTTCTCCGTTTGATTGTGTTTTTAAAATTGACATGCAAAGTAAAAATAAATCCCTGATCATGAAATGTTAATTTGAGAAAACGATTTGATTAATGATCAAATTAAATTTGTTGAATTTCATATATACTTGTAGCAAACCTAACACTGCCATAAAATAATGTAACATTAATTTAATGTTGTTAGCCACACAAAATTAATTTAAAGCTTAATGTCACAGGCCAAGAGTTACGACGAAGCGAAACGGTCCGTGCGACACCCCAACGTCTAGAGATGGGGTAAGCCTACACGTATGTCATTCATTGGCTTGAGGTCTACTTGGTTTCGTTCTGCCATGGACTCACCAGGGAAGCGACTCCAGCTCCCAGCTAGTTTGTGTAGTGATGGCCTAATTCCTTCTTCATCGTCAACTATGAAGTATAGCTCTCACGCTCCCCTTTCAAAGAGCACCTCCCCCCTAAAGAGTTTTATGAATCATTGCCAATGTGCTAGGAGGAAACACACATAGTGTCTTAGTTGTCACACCCCATGTGAATGTTTTACGAAACCCCTCAACCTCATATGCTCACCACACCTGCTGCTTTTGTCACGACGTTGCAGAATAAGGTTGTGACACTAGCTATCATAGAGCTTTTGTTTCTCTTCTTTCTCCCTATTTGGTTCACTATTGGGTCATTGCACATAAATATTGAATTTGTGAGCATATTTATTTTTTCTTCACTTATGATTAATCAATCAGAGTCTATTTAGAAGTTTACTTTATTTACAATGTTGTATTTATCAACAATTTTCTATTTGGTCGAGGTCATGTTTTATTTATAAATACATCCTATTAGTTATGTAATATGACTGAATGTATAATTATATAATGAATTTTATAAAAAAGTAGTGTTATTTAAACCTTGTCATAGAATAATATATACTTTTTTAATTTAAAATTACTTAAAAGGGACATTTGTTCTTTATATTATGAAAGAAGAGAGTATAAAATTCATTGAACTCTATCTCCAACTACCCTGAACCATGCCTATGATATATGGGCTGGTGTCTCTTGGGCCATGAGAAGACGATGTTGGGTTGTGTGTCATGAATGGATTCCAAACTGTATTCTGAAAACAGAACTTGAGCAACAAACCAATTTTTTAATGTCTGGACCATCCTGTGTGATAAAAACTCTTGAATATATTATTTAAGATATCTTGAGTTTAAATTATTTTGATTGTTAATAGAGATAACCATTAAGGATATACTTGTTCATTAACTTCAAGATCCAGGAGTGTCGAGTCTCGATCGTTAACTTCAAGGTCTCGTGGGTGTCAAGGGGCGCACTAGGGGTGAAAAAAACTGGTTAACCGAATCGGTTTTTGGTTAAAAAAATTGAACCAAAACCGATCCGGTTTAAAACCGAACCAAAAATTCGGTTCGATTAACCTGTTAATTATAATGGGTTGCATTTGTTTGGCCCATGACCCATTTTTTTTCCAGGTTTTTTTTAACTTGGATTAAAGTTATATTTATTGTAATTAAATAATTTGAATTCATATAATTTTAATGTACATCAAGTATTAATAATTTAAAATTACATTAGTGAAGATCTAGGGATAAATTTTTTAAAAATGCACAAAATATAAAATTATTTTTTAAAAAATTGAATTTTAGAAAATGCGCATTAGTGAAGACCTAGGGATAAATTTTTAAAAAATTGAAAAATATAAAATTATTTTTTTAATCATTAAACCAGTTTAAAAATCCAGTTTGGTTAACCGTTTTTGTTATTTCAAATTTTCCCTCTTTTTTCACCCCTATTGCGCGCAAGCTGACTCAAACATTCTCGGTCAATACAAAAAAATATTAATGTCTGAAATTGGAAAATTTTAACCTATTTTTAAGTGTTTTAATTACTATGTAACGATCATGACTTTCTTTTTTCCACTAATTTAATTTTGATTAAGAAAATGAGCACTTACTAATAATTTTTTCTTGACTTTGATATGTTTGAATGTTTCCATTTGATTGTTTCCAGTTCCAGTTTGTCAAATAAAATGATAGGGATCGTCATGGCATTCTCCAACCGGTAACTAGAAAAAGTAAATGTCCAGGAAGCTGTAAACGAAGTTTCGCCAAAATGAATGATTTAAAAATCAACCACGCTATGAATAATCAATTAGTTTCACAATAACCAAAGCATGCATTATTGAAACAGGTCAACAAGAAAACGCGTTAAACTTCGATTATTGGCAGATGGTTGTCAAATTGCGTGCTATAAGAGGATACACCTTTTTTTAAAATAATAAAATTTTTCTAAAAATTAACATCATTCCAAAAATTAATTAAAAAATTTTATAATATTATTAACTTTAAATTATAATATCATGTAATCAAAACTAATCACAAAATTAAGAGTCTATATCATTTCTCTCAATTATTAATATTATTTCTAAGATTAATATCAATATCTATATATCTATTTGTTGTATTATTATCATACAAAAAGGGTAATACATGTTCCTCTTCACTTTTTTCATATAAAATAGGTAAATTTGAGCAGGTTTTAGTGAATCAGGTTGAGTGATCTAGATCCAACCAGAAATTTTTTAAGCCTTTGACCCAAATTAATAAAATCGTATCGATTTTTTTAAGGATATGAATTGATATGTATAATATTGTAGGATACATATTAAAATATATATAAAGATTTATGATACATTAAAATATATATAAAGATTTATGATACATTCTCTAATACGTATCATTGAGTAACTGTATCACATCGTATAGCGGAAACTAATAACTAAGATTTCAAGGTCCGCTTGTAAATTTGCAGAAAAAACTAGCACGAGCTAGAGGTACCATTGCCAATTGCAGTTATAGTACCTCAGATCAGATGCATGAAATCTCCGTGCTCTCCACATTCTCTCGTTGACTGGGCTCTCTGTCTTAAGTAACAAGAAACCATTAAGAAATTCCTTTTTATATCGAGTCAAGACGAAGTCAATTCTGAAATGTTCTTTATCCGTGATAACACAATCCCACTATATATATATTTACTTCTCTTCTCCTTCTATTGTACTAGTTTAATAGTTCAGCACAATTAAGCAACTTATCAACACAGAGATACTGAGGATGGGAAGAGCTCCGTGTTGTGACAAAGCTAACGTGAAAAGAGGTCCATGGTCTCCTGAAGAAGATGCCATTCTTAAGAATTTCCTTGAGAAACATGGCACTGGTGGCAACTGGATTGCTTTGCCCCGTAAAGCAGGTATTTTATTTTAAATAATAATGCAAAATCTTTCCTTTTTTCTATCCTTTGAATCAAATTAAATAGTTTTTGATGTTAATTCCAGGGCTTAGGCGCTGTGGGAAGAGTTGTCGTCTACGGTGGCTGAATTATTTGAGACCAGATATTAAGCATGGTGGGTTTACCGACGAGGAAGACAACGCCATATGCACTCTTTACAGCACCATAGGAAGCAGGCAAGTCATTAGTTAACTTAAATTTATTGTTTGTTTGTGCTTTCTTATTACTTCCTTTCTTAATAAATACTTTTGTTTCTGAATTTTAAGGTGGTCGGTTATAGCTTCCCGACTACCAGGAAGAACAGACAATGATATAAAAAACTACTGGAATACCAAGTTGAAGAAAAAGCTTTTAGCAGCCAACAATAATATAATCCCTAACAATTCCACACAAATTTCTGCCTCAATTCCCAAAGATGAACCCTTTTATTATGCAAATGCAAGTTCCTCTACATTGCCATATGTGATTGACACGACTTGGCAACAGCAACATGTTGAGCTTCAGCATCAAGGGATTAGTCAAGTTCCTTTTCCAGGGCACATGCAGGTTTCTGATTACAGTTCCATGTCATCAGTTCAAGAAGCTTCAAGTCTTTCTATTTCAGAAAGCAATATTTCTGCCGTCTCGTGGTCTGCCAATGGAAATGTTGAAGAATTAGGAATTAATCTACTCAACTTTGGCTTCGATTCCTCTTATCAATTTCTAAATGAGTTTGGTTTTGAGACACCAACTAGTCATGAAGTTGCTCAAGATTTAGGTAATTATCCCTTAATCTAGAAGTTTAGCCGTCTAACATTTTACTAATTAAAGCACTAATGCACAATATTATAAGTAGTGTTTATTTTACCTTATGGTTTCTGTTATGGTTGTAAATATAAATTGTTCAATGTATAAATCGAATGAAATTAGGACTTATATAAGTAGAAATAATTATTTATCTAAGTATAATTATAATTGGTTATTCTTAAAATAGATGCATATGTTATGAGGTCTTGTTGAATGTGTAGCCTGATGATATTCATTGAGATTTTCAATAATGTGAATGTTATTGGCATGCCACTCAAGAATGTTTGTTCTCTTCATTGACTTCTTGGGTTCGGATCATCTTTGGGTTACCTACCACATATATTTGTTGTTTACTTAGAATAATGAGTTTGTAAGATGTTCAATGAGCACTAGAGATTAATTGTGGTGCGGACAAACCGGTCATTTCCTTTCTTTCAGTTATTCATTTCCCCTTTTCTAGTCTATTAATAAAAAAACATATTCTTCCAATTTATAAAATGAAAATTCTAATGGCTTTTGCTACTATAATCTTCTCGACCACATTTTTTTCATTTTTCCTAGGCGCATTGGAAATAAAATAAAGTAATAAATAGAAATAGGTAAAGAAATTGTAAGTTCCATCACCTCTATGATTACTTCTTAAACGATGAGGTTCTTTCTATACACGGAAGCCCTTTCCTTCATCTAAGGACGCCCATATATATATATATATATTCTCAAATGAAGCCTTTGGCGCATGCACTACATTAATATATACAATTTTTTTTAATTAATAATCATTTATCACATCAATTGTAAAAATAGATGAAAAATAAAATTATAGATTCATGATTTTGTTATTTTAGATTTTTTTTCAAAACTTATTTAATTAATTTGTTATGTAGTACTTGTTTTATAATTAATTGGTTGTCTTATTCTTGAATAAAAGTGGGGGTGAAATGCTCGTGAATGGGTGAATGTGGGAACATGTGGTTAGAAAAATGTTGTTTGTCTTGAATTCAGACTGGTCAGAGGTCACGAAACTTATATTGGGTTGCCTATTCAAAGATTAAGAAAACGTCTTCCTTCTGACAATTAACCGTAGATATTGCAAATGCCTGGTATGTGGAGACTTATCAGTACCACTTAATTTCATCCCAATAATGCCCTTGTTACTCCATCACCAATTACACCCATGCGTCATTGTGATTGCGACAAATCCTTTCAGATTTAATGGAAACTTTATATTTTATGTTAAAAAAATAAATACAAAAATAGATTAAAAAAAAAGTACTATCATCTTGTTTGGCATGTTTTTGTTGTCAAGGAGCGAGTGCCCAAATATTCAAAATATAAGGCTCACGTTTGGTTCATTTTTTTTTCTAGTTTTTAGAATTTTTTTTTTGAAAAAAATTAAAAAAAGTTAAATTGGATGAGTACTACGATGCAAAATTTAGAAATTAATAAAAATACCTTTATGTTTATTTATTTACTAGACACTCCAATAATAAAACTTTGAAAGTTAACAAAAATACCCCCAATCTACTCATTGAATAATCAAAGCCGGCCACCACTGCTGGAGGGTGGTCAGAGTCGCTATATCAGCGCATGACCGGCTGGATCTTGCCGGTCGTATGCCGATATAGCCTTTGTCGACCAGATCCACAAAGGCCAGATCTACGGTAGATCTGGCCGGCAAATGCCAAATCTACGGTAGATCTGGCCGGCAAATGCCAAATCTACGGTTAGATCTGGCAATTGACGGCCAGATCTGGCTGCATTTGCTCGTCAACGATGGCTAATATGGCCGTCGTTGACGTCTGGTTACGGCCAAAGCTTTGACCTTAGATCTGGCCGAAAAATGCTAGATCGGCGTACTACCGGCCAGATTCAATCGGTAGTGCGCTATCATATCAGATTCTGATCAACTTCTGGCAGTGGTGGCCAGAATCTGGTATAATGTGGGTTTAGTAGTGTTTTTGTAATTTAAAAAAAAATATTTAAGGGTATTTAATTAAATTAATAAATTTAGGAGGTTTAAAAAAAGTTGAATAATAATGAATAATATTATGAGTTTTTAGATATTTTACTGTTTAATTTTTTTAAAAATACTAATAATAGTATACTCAAAAACCCACCAAAGCGGAGCCAAGAATTTTCACAGATGCATTGTATAACACACAAATCATTGTCAAATATAATCGAAAACGACTTTCAACAGTGTCGTCTTCATGGATCATCAAAACTTGAGATTTTAAAACATTTATACAATAATTATGTGTCCACTAACCATTTGTCCGGCGGCTGTCTTTTACATTTTTTATATCCTTATCAAACTTTACTTAATTCTTTTTAGTCCTTGTGGTTTCACTTTACTTTCTTTAAGGACAATTGTTTCAAATTTTATTATAGACATATATCTATTATCCAAGACTTTTATTTGTCATTTCATTATAAATTTAACAGTCAACTAATATTTTATTAAGTTTAATGACTAAAACAATAGTATAGTAAAACTCCTTTATAAATAATACTTTATATGAGAATAACCTCTATATAGTAAAAATAAAAAATCTAGTCTCAACTTAGGATTGTTATAACTAAGAATAATTTCTGCATTGTAATAAATTATAATTTTTCTAAATTCCGTCTTAAGAAAGTTGTTTCCATATAATAATAACTATTAGTATATTTTGCAAAAAAATATATGTTATGTTTCATTAAAGGTATAAGATAAAATAAAATTTTTATTTAAAATTGTTTGGGATAATGATTTATGCTTTATAGTTGTTACTATATCTTTTAACTTATGGTACGTAATAATTCATTAGCATAGACACCTTCTTGTTGAAGCTAAAATATTTATAGCTTTTTAGCATAAAACTTTTTGTATTTTCATACTATCATTCTTAAAATTATTTTTTTTCTCTTTTTATCTAGCTTGCAGCTATGACTACTACAACAACGACTTGAAATCTTATTATATACTACTAAAACTTGAATTATAAAATAAAAAATAAAAACAATAATTTTTGTAACTATATATCTATTAAATTATAATCTCCTTATAGTAATAAATTAATTGATCCCACCATTATGACTATAAAGAGATTTTACTTGTATATTGAATTGAGAAGGACCAAAACTGTAGTATTTGAAACTATTATCCTTAAACGGTACTAAACTGAAACAACAGGGACTATAATTAGCAGCCTCGTTTCTAGGTTTATATAAATCCCCCATTTCAAAGTTCTGACTAATAAACGCGACAAGTTTTTATTAAAGGTGTGGACTGGTCAGATTGAAGTTTGAACTAAATCTCAAGTGTGATTCGTCAAAAGGCTATGTGGGGTTAGCTTTTTCGATGTAGAATTTGAGAGTTCAGTTATTTTAGACTTTGGTGAAAATTAGTCATCGATGTCTCTTTTTATAGGTAATCTTACTTGAAAAATCCCCGGANTATATTGAAGAGAATCTTGAAGAGAAGTAATTCAGAATTAGCCGGTTAGAACCCATCTAAACCAGCCCATTATTTATATGATTCCGTATGCCAACCATTAAACAACTTATTAGAAATACAAGACAGCCAATCCGAAATGTCACAAAATCCCCAGCGCTTCGGGGATGCCCTCAGCGACGAGGAACATGTACTCGGGTGTATGTGCGACTCGTTTAGATCATAGACTGAAACACAAAAAGGAAATTCTTTTTGAAATATCAAGGATCAGTACCTGTTAATAAAATAAAATAGAATGGAGGAACTCGATTCATTATTTCAAAAAGATAGATCATTCATATCTTCTATTGTGTCTGAAACTTATGGTTTACATTGGTGCAAATCCAATCAACTCCATTTTTTAGAAAACCCCCAATGATAACAAATGGTTATCAATTAAGCGGGGGAAATCCCATTTTTTATTAAAAAGATTCCACTCTTGAAAGAAAAAACGGACTAACAGGGTAAATGACCAAATCAATTTTAAAATAAAATACCGTTACTGTATAAAGTGGATCTCATTGTGAAAGATCTATTACTGGAATATTAATGGGGTAGAGCCAAAGAATGTGAATTGTACAAGTTACCAATAGTATTGATTAATTAAAAGAAGGAGCTCCGGTGTATAGAGAGGACCTCACCGTTTTAGAAGTAACCATAGAAACGAAGGAACCCACTATTTATCCATTTCTATTTACTACTTTTTGTAGTTATTCTATTTTTTTTATATCAAGTACCAAGGCAATTTATCCTTTCAAAGCAAAGGAAAATACCTAGCCAAAAATAGTGGTGGGGAAGGTTAGAGTAGCAAAAGCCATTGGAATTTTTTTTTATACATTGGAATAATTCGTTTGGTTATTAATGACTAGTAAAGGGGAAAAGAATAACTAAAACTAAAAAAAGAATTAGTTATTCATCAAAGTTTGATTTATTCAATGACTAGAATTAAACGCGGATATATAGCTCGGAGGCGTAGAACAAAACTTCGTTTATTTGCATCAAGCTTTCAAGGGGCTCATTCACGACTTACACGAACTATGACTCAACAGAGAATAAGAGCTTTAGTTTCGGCTCGTCGGGATAGGGGTAAAAGAAAAAGGGATTTTCGTCGTTTATGGATCACTCGAATAAATGCCGTAATTCACGAAACGGAGGTATTCTATAGTTATAACCGATTCATACACAATCTGTACAAGAAGCAATTNGTGTTATTGCATTCTTTTCTTTCAGATTCTTGATATTGTATTATTTTATTTGTTTAAGGTTTAGTGATTTTTTAAAGTTTTCACTAGTTGTTTGACAAACAATGGTGGAGTTGCGGAGGTCCTCCCTCGACAAAAATCTTAGATCCGCCATTGTTTATAGCATGTCTTATAATAAAAATAAATTCCATTACTCAGAAGACATGGAGCCAACAAATGGAAATTCAAATCCCGAATCAATGGAAGGTGAAATAGCTATTGATGTGCAAGATACGAACCAAAGTGAAGCTAGGCCATCACCTGTGGAACTAAATACGAACCATATTGCGCCTACTGGTTAGCTCTCTCATAACAGTAAAGAAACACACACACACATATATAGATAATTATTCTCTTATCCGGACATCAGATAATTTTTATCATCATGATTTTAAATTTGAGACGTTGGGTTTTATTGATGGTTGAGATTTATCT